GCCTCCTGCTGCAAGTCCTTCAACAGCTCTCTATCACTTGTGGGATAAAGTCCAGGCTCCTGGGCTAGAACACCAGATTGCCACTGCTTACCTCTCCAGCCTCATACTTTCCCCCATTCTCATCTCATCTTCAGAAACATGGGATTGCAGGACTTTCCTGCACACCCCCATACGGCTACCCTTAATGCTGCTGTTTCTGTTCCAGGGGTACTCCCCTACACCACTTCTTAACTTGGTAACGCCTGCTCATCAGTTAAGACCCACCTCAGGCATGCCCTCCCTCCCTCAGAGGGCTTTCCATGACCACTGCCCTTGTGTCCCATAGTCCACTGTGGTTCCTGCTCTCCCAGCACATGCCACATTATAAAAAAGGGTTGTTTACTTATGTCTTGGCCCTTTTGACCTTAAGCTTCTAATATTGTTTCACCTCCCTTCCTCTACTGCTACCACCCTAGTTCTAACCCTAATCTGGATTATTGCAAATGGTCTCTTCGGCTCCACTTTCTACCCATTCCAAATATTACCAGCAGATTAATATTCCCAAAGCACAAGTGACTGTGTGTTCCTTCCTCAACCCAAAAGCTTTAATGGTTTCCATTTCCCTACCATTTGTGAAATGATTTTAGGTAGTACATGGAAGTGGCATTTAATGACTCTGGATCACAGAATAAGAAAGTCCCTTTATCAACTTTCTTTAAATTTTTCTAACTATGCTAGGGAGAAAGTGTGGCCCTAAGATGTTTTGCATATGAATATAAACCTTGATAAACCCTTTCTTAATAAACAGCAGGCCTCAGGACAAAGCCTTAAAGAAGACAGTACCTAGCTAGACTTTAAAAATACTGCTTTATTTGCAGTGTGTTTATTTTTATGGTTACATTTTAGTTTTGGAAAATTAGACTGGTTTTTTCATTTATAAGAGTGATATAAAGTTTTCTTTCAAGGTAAATATATTTAAGCAAATAAGAAGTGAGTCCGTTTAAAGGAAAGTGTCGAGTGCATACTAGCACCAGTAGGATGCAACATGGTAAAGTCACGACGGCAGTACTGAAATGACTGAAGTTAGAGAAAGATTGGTCAGCCACACCAGGTTTAAACTTCTCAGTCTGTTACCTACCGCGTGCCGACTCATGCCCTACGCTCCTTTAGGTCTCAGAGGTTACACAACAGGCATGAAATCTCCCAACCTATATCAAGCTGATGTAAACGTGATGCTTCCTTAGAGCTGTCTTTTAATCTGATAACGATGATTAATTACTGTCTGTTCCCCAAAGACGTACCAAGATGCACCAGGATGTACCACTTCCCAGCCGCCACGTTTCTGCTCATGCTGTTCCTTCTGCTTGGAATGCTCTGCTTCCCATCTCTACCTGTTGGAGTCCTACAATCCTTCAATGTCCATGCTAAGTGCTATCTCCTTCAGGAAGCCTTTCCTCATCCCGCAGTCAGATGGCTTTCTTTCTCTTTCACAGTACCATCAGCACTTTCTATCTCCACTCTGGTTCCTATCACCATTTTGGAGATACTTGTTAGTCGCCCTGTTCTGCGCCATCTTCACAACTGTTGATATGTTCAGGCCCACTGTTGTGGCCACTGTATTTTGAGTGCCTTCCAACACATTTCTAGCACTAATCAGACAACAGTCTGTTGGTGATATTACAGGTGTTCAAATGATTATATTCTACCACCTAGTAGATTTTAAGTGCTTTCAAGGGAAGGACACAAATGGAATGAATTTTATTCATTTTTGTACCACCATGGTGTTTAACAAAGTGCCTTAGAAACAGAGTAGACCTATAATTAATATTTGCTGAATTGAATTTAGTATTTCAAGCAACATTCATGTGACACTTACAATTTTGCGCTTGATCATGAAGAGTGGGATTTTCGCATGAAGAGGGGTTGAGGACAGTTCCTTATGGACCGTTGATAAATATAATCTTCTCTTGATGTTTCCTAAATCAGTAATTCTGGGAAAAAAAAAAAAAGAGATAGGAGGGAGAGAAAGATTCTCATCAATTTAACAGCCACTTTGGATAATCATCAAAATGATATAATTTATAATATAGACCTTTTCCAACAGGGAGATCAAACACAGAATTTAAAAATTGCCTTTTTCTTTCAAGAAGTAATAAAATTTCTTCCTTAAATTCAAAGCGCTCACAAGCCTGAATGTATAAATTCACTTAATATGCTAATTCATTTCAGTACTCAAGATTTCCACAGTCCTCCAGCCGAACAAAAAATTCAATTTGTATGAACTGAGAAACTGCTAGCCTTTAATAACCGTGCTTGTTCTAGCCCCTTAAGCCTGTGTTATCGTGGGACATACTGTCACCTACTAAATCGGAAAACATTATGGGTTTCTTTCCCTAAAAATGCACCTGTCATTTTATATAGGCTGTTTGTCTGCTTAGAGACAGACACAAAGCACTGACTGTCGGTTTCACTTCCTAAGCACATATCTTAGAATCAGAATTACAATACACAAGTTTATTGCTCACTATTCAGGTCGATCCACACTGATACCAAGGACATTGAATCTGAACATCTTTAATAGATTTAGACCACAGCCATGATCACAAAGATTAGGTCTGCTTCAAACTGATAGAGGCTTATTTTTACGTTCTGCTTCCTTTAGGTCTCAGAGGTAATACAACAAGCATAAAATCTCCACGCCTGTCTCAGGCTTCTATATTGTAGAATTGATGTTTCCTTAAAGACTGTCTTTTTATCTGAGAATAATAATTTTTCATCTATTTTTAGCAACTTTGTCTAGATGTACTATACTGTTAATTTTCTACAATTAGCAATTCCCTGAGAAACCAACATTTCATTCAAATATACTGCTGTCAATATTTATAGTGTAATTAACTGTTTTTTAAATCAACATAGCCTATTCTATAGCTCTTCCTTGCCTCCATCTTCCCACATTCCTAATCTCATTATTTCCTCCCTCTAAAATACATATCCTGCTGGGGAAAAATGACTTTTGAGCAATGTTAAAAATAGATATAGTAAAAATTAGGTGGTATAATTTCAGAGTATTCTGCCCTACCTGCACTATGCAATGCCATAAATGCATTTAAAAAGCCATGAAGTCTTTGAACCCATAGTAAGAGATCAACTTTAAAATGCAAAAATACTACTGCAGCATTCCGCTTGCATGTATGAGCAAACGCAGTACAACGTTCACCCTAAGGCAGTGGTCTTCAAAGTGGGAGGAGCTGGGTGTGTGGATGGTACACAACAATCCATGAAGTGCAGGAACACAATGTTAGAACCTGCCTTTATCCCATCCTTTTAAAATGTTATTTTTGTGCATGCTTTACTATATAGTAGTACAGCAACATATTTACATATTTTCTAAATAAATAGAAGTACCTATGCAGTAGGTGTGCTCAAAAAATTCACTAATGGAGTACAGGATCGAAAACGTTTGGAAAGCACTGCCATGGGGATGCTGCTAGGTCTCTTCTGTGCGAAGGTCTGATTAGGGAGCAGAAGGAAAGACTGCAGAGATTTTGGAGGGGAAAAGGTAATGGAAAGAGGGGTTGCATTGCCAAAACCTCATCTGTTTTATTAAAGGCTTGTCTTGCTGGTAGCAGTAACACTACGTAACTTCTATCTGAATCCATAAGGATCAAACTCCAAACAGAGGAACATTTCAGTCTATCACTTCACTGGCACATGGAGCTATAGGACATTCATTCATTCACACATTCTGCAGACACTCACTGAGCCAGGCAACAGGTTTAGGTATGGGAATACAATGATAAAAAAGACAAGGTCCCTATTCTCCAGGAAACCCTAGTGGAGTAGTGGTTAAGAACCCGGCTGCTAACCAAAAGAGCAGCAGTTTGAATCCACCAGGCACTTCTTGGAAATCCTATGGGGCAGTTCTACCCTGTCCTATAGGGTTGTTGTGAGTCGGAATCGACTCGATGGCAACAGGTATTGTTTTGTCTGGTTTTTCTACTCCCCTGGAGCTTCGGATGGAAAAGGCAGATGAAAAATAGACAAAGAGATAAAATAAATGCAGGTTATCCTAAATGCAATGAAGAAAACAAGTAAGAGACTAAGCTAGAAAATGTCAAGAAATAACATACTTTAGACATAAAGCCAGCAGGGGTAGGACTAGCAGGCCAGGGGTCAGATGAGGTAGAAGGGGTAAAACGCCAAGTCATGCAGGGCCTCTAGGCCAAGTAAGGAGTTTATCAATGTACTCTTTACAAAAGGAAACTACCCTGCATGCTGAACGGACATTACAAAAATAAATGGTAATTGTCTCTTTCATTTTACTATTAGGCTAAAATATGTGTAACTGAAAGGCACAGATTTTAGTGCACAATCTCATGTGTTTTGATAAATATATACACCCATGTAACCACCATCTAAATTTGGAGAACATTTCCATCACCCTAAAAAGTTCTCTTCTAGCTCCTTTTAGTCAATCTTCACACCCACAGGCCATCACTCCCCTGATTTTTATTATCACAGAAACGTGGAAGAACCGCAAACCTCAAAGTTATGTCTGTTCTTGAAATTCTTATAAATAAAATAGTATCGAATATACTGTTCTGTGACAGACTTCTTTCACTGAACGTCATGTTTTTGAGGTTCCTCCATGCTGTACCATGTACCGACAGTTGGTTTTTTGTTTTAAATTGTTGAATATTTTATGGCTATACCAATGTTTATTTATTTATTCTGTTGATGGGCATTTGGGTTGTTTTCTTACGAATAAAACCACTATGAACATTTTGGTAGTCTCCTTATGAACATATGGTTTCATTCTCTTGATAAATAAGTAGAAATGGATTGCTGGGTGTTTGAGGCATATATAATTTTATAGAAACAGTTCTTCAAAGTGGATGAACCATTTTACACACCCACCAGCAATTCATGAAAGTTTCAACGGTCCCACAGCCTTGTCAGCATTTGATGCTGTCAGTCTTTTTTATTTTAGCCAGTTTTAGTGAGTATGAAATGGATAAGTGTTAAATATCATTAGTCAGAAGGGAAATGCAAATAAAATCACAGTGACATCCATTTCATACTCAATACTTTGACCTGTGCTTACTGATGTATCTTCTTCTGTGAAGCATCTGTCAAGTCTTTTGTCCAAAACATTTTTTTTTTGTTTTATCATTATTCAATTGTAAGAGTTCTTTATATATTGTGGATGCATGTCCTTTGTCAGATATACGTATTGTAAATATTTTCTTGCCTATTTTCTTAATGGTGTCTTTTTTAGCCTTTTATTTTAAAATAATTTCTAACTTATTATTTATTGTACTGAACATTTTCTATATGCCAACACTGTATAAAGCACTCTATTATGCATTATCTCATTTAATCTTCCCATAAGCCCTATAAGATATCATCTCCATTTTACAGATGAGGAAACTAAAGCTTAGAAAGGTTAGATGATTAGCCCAAAGTCACACATCAAGCAGAGTCTGGATTTGCACTTAAAACGAAGTGATTCCAGTGTCTACATTCTTAACCACGTGCTTTCTTTCTTTGGGGGTTGGTGGTACCATGGTGGGATGATCTTTGCTCCTGGGAACAAAATATTTCACATCTGATGGCTAAGAGTCCTACCCTGCCCTATGTTTAGATGATCATAGCTTATGCTTGCCTTTTTCTTTTTTCTAATTTTTATTGATTGACCAACTCTGAGTCTTCTTCCCTTTGAAACAGTCTTCCTTTAAATATATTTAAAAAAAAAAACAAAAAAAAAAAGAAACTCTAACCCATTACTATCGATCATACAATTAAAAGCTCAGAGACTAATCTTTTTTTCCTCATTTTCATGTTCTTGGGGGTCACCTCACTGTCTCACTACAGGTTATCTGTATTTACAATCCTCTCAGGTATTCGTGAGGACCCCTGAAAGTCACTGACTGTTCCTTGACCTGAACATCTGGGTTCTACCAGTCCAATTAGCTACCACATCCTGTCAAAGACACTTCTCTAGTAGTTTTGGATCTATTTTTTCCTTTGGTTTTTACAGCTTTTTTGCTAATTCAGGCCATTTGTTGCTTGAAATAGCCTCCAATCTTTTATCTCTCTGTCAATTTTTCATGTGGCCACCAGCCAGGGGACTAAATGCCACCCCTTGGCTCAAATTTCTTCTTTGCAATCCTATAGTCTATGGAATAAAGTCTAAGTTTCCTACCTTGTTATTCCAGGACCTCCCAAATCTGACCCTTATCCACTACTCCAATATCACTGTGTTCCTCTAGGCACCCTCTGCCTATGTCAGACCTCATATAACAAAGTGTAAGACTGAAACCAGGAGACTAGCACTGGAGAAGCCAAGGAGAGAACTTCAGAATTGGTGTGAGAGCAAAGGCGTGGAACTGCAGAATAAAACCAGGGTTGTGAGCCTACACATGAGACACTGAGAAGATCTGAGCAGGGGAGATATCAAGACTATAGCTACAGTTAGAAAAGGACAGGAAATGAAAAGAGAGAGCAACATCTAAATCCCTACCACGTGCCAGAATATGCACCATTTCACCAGTGCTATCTCACTTATTTCTCACAACAGCTCTTTGAAATAGGAATAGTCACATCTTACCAATGTAGTGAGAGGCTCAGAAACCTTAAGCAACTTGTTCAAAGTCTCACAGCTAGTAAATGGCAGAGCCAGAAATCTACTAAAGCCTGAAAGATAAAGCAAGCGGAATAACGAGTAGAACTTCACCACAGGGTTTCCAAGGCTGTAAATCTTTACAGAGGCAGGCTGCCACATCATTCTCCCGTGGAGTGGCTGGTGGGTTCGAAAGCAGCCAAACACTTTAACCACTGTGCCACCAGGGCTCTTTAACAGATAAAGCAAGTAGAATAATGATAAATTATTGACAAGTCTATTGACAATTCCAGAGGATGGTAGTTACCCAGCTCGCTGCTTTTGAACGGTTGCCTGCTTACTAAGAGGAAAAGGGTGAGTAGCAGGCCT